AAGTGATCACCCGAGCGGTTGAGCTCCTAGGAGAGCAACGGCCTTCCGACCGGCTGGACCCTCGAGGCCTTGTTGGGGTGGTCTTCGGTCTGTCCAAGGTCAGGCTAGTGTGGGAGAATATGCACATGGTCGACTACATGTGTTGGTGACAATATGAGATTTGGGAGGGAATTTTGGTAAATTCTTGTTGGTTTCTGTACACTTCTACCTGAACTCCCACAATTAGTGAGGAAATTGCCGAGGAAAGCGAACATATATTCCTCCAACAGTGGTTAGGAGTGCCCCCCTCAGATGGCCATGAACGCCCCTCTATTGGAAAGGCATCTACCTCGTGCTGATGAGTTATCATCACCACAGGCGAGAGCACAACTGCTGTATGTCCGCTGTAGGATCCAGAGGAAAGCCGGATGCGCGGATCTGGACCCGGACATAGAGGCTCTGGCGAACAGGTAGTAGTAAGGCCACTACTGTGGTATGATGAACCTCTCCACAGCTTGGCTCGGGAGGCTGCTGACCGCGAGTCCTTCCTCCTTGCCCTCCATGCGATATCCTTGGTGCCCTACCGTCATGAAGGTCTCCTGTGTAGAGGGGTAGAGGGAGAGGACTGTGAAGGTGATCGAGGCTGGACCGCTGGGTCCTATGTGAGAGTCCATTCTGATCATATTGTTATTGTGAGTTGCTGAAATCAGTTACGTTACATTGCAGATTGTTTTCGTTTGTCGTGTCCTGTCACCAGCACGACCTCGATAGTCTCCAACGCCATCACCTACGAGAGCTTCTTCCTATACGGCTTACGATTCATGGGCTGGGATTTGAGTCGGGCCCGGGTCCCTAATCTGGGAGAGGCAATCTCCACGGTAAACTCGAGAGTTCTTCCTGCCGAGTCTGCGGCCATGCTTTTGGCCGCCTTTCAAATGAGCTACTGGTCGTCATCGAAACGACTAAGGAACTTGGCGAACATATCGTTGGAGTCTTTGAGAAAGTTACAGCATTGTACCCAATTCGAAGTGAACGAGACAGCCCCGCATGCCCGGTATCAGGTTGAGGTAAGGACCTATTTCGCGGCTAGCTGGGGCCGGTGGAAGATCTTGTCAGGTTGATGAGGTCCTCCGTGCGGTATCTTCTAGCGATTTTCGAGTGCTTCGGGAAGTTGAAGTCGATCCTTATTCCCTCGATTTACTCCTCATCACCCCTCAGTTTTTACGCACCATGCAAGCCGATGTTTCTGTTAATTTATGATAATGCCTTTTGCCTCGTGTTCGAGTTGGGCTTCTCAACGAGCCTAGCCAAGTATACATATTGGAGGAGATGGCTTCTACGCGAGAGCGATGGACGACGGCCTTGAGGAACTCTCCGGTCTACTCCGGTCCATCCGGCTTAGGCATCGATGTCATGGATCCGCTAAGAAATACCGTCTTCATCGGGAGTTCATGATTCTAGAAGGAGGACTGCAGATGACTGCTCATCGGCTTTCTCTCAAACTCCTCCCCTTCCGGGTCAGTGTGTAGCCGCCCATACCTCCAAGTGAGGTATTGCCATAGCCGTATTACTCCTTCGTCGCGTTTGTCGACTGCCAACGTTACCCCGTGATCAACCTCCGTGAATCCAATAGTGTGCATAGACCGGATCGGCCGTTGTAGTAGTCTGGAGAGTTGCCACATGTCTCGATCAATTCCATCACTCGCGAGAATACTTCCTCATTTTCGCTTTTCTCAACCGATGCCTTTTCAAGAGGACTTTAGTGCTAAACATATAAATAGGTCTCGAGAAAATAGGAAGTTTTCATCTTCTCATAAAATCCGAGGTTTCCATCAAAAACTCAAGTAAACGCAACAAACGTGTATTAGAAATGGTAATAGTGTGACGTTAGAGTATTCATCACCAATCTTGACCACCAATAGGCTCATCACTCGGTCGGCTGGTCTGGCGTCGAGCCTGTTCCAATTTAGGGCAGTCCTTGATACGATGCCCGAGTCCTCCACAATAGGCACATCCACGGACGCCATTTACGACCTGAGACATGTCTCCTACAAGGGTTACTCACAAGCGTCTTACCTCAGCAGTGTCCTCTCCACCAACTGCCTCCAAGTGCTCGAGGAAGGGAGGTACTCGCTGACCGGCTTCCTCTAGGATGGCCTTCAAATCTAATAGTACCTAAACCATCAGCAGTATGACGAGTGGGTCTAGAGGGAGTAGTAATGGTAGCAGTATAAAGGGGGTTTCTTATCTCTACTACCGTTTCATCGACACTCTTATTAATAAAGGTTGTCGCCACTCCAGTACGCCCACATCGACCAGTCCTTCCTATCCTATGGACATAGTTCTCGATCTCCTTGGGCATATCATAGTTGATGACATGTTGGATAGCAGGGAAGTCGAGACCCTGATAATAGATCCGTCAGCCGTGGAGACAGTTGACTGTCTTCACCTTAGATGCAACATCAGTGCCGATTAAAACATCCTTCGCTCCGCTCTTGAATAAACGTGTACTCTTGTGCCGTTCACTCTGTTCCAGCCCACCATGTATTGCGCAAGCACCGACACCCTTTAAAAGGAGGTATCTGGTAAAGGCGTATGGTAGTATGGTCGTCAATGTTGGAGAGAAAAAATGACGTCCCCAGGGATCGAACCCGAGACCTACTCTAAGACTTCATCACAACTCGCCTTATCGCTGCAGAATACCATAACAGGTGGCGCCGTCTTCTGGAGGCATTGGAGAAGATACGTCAGCTTACTCTCAGCTTTCACGTATTCAACCTAACCGCCCATAACACCATTAATTTTGTGGCGCGCGAAATTTGCAAGTACCTCCTGAACAACATCCAAATTGGCTGCTCCTGCCCGTCCAACGTTGATGGTCACCGGATTGACCAACGCCGACGTAGCGAACTCTTGGATTTTCCGAGGCATCGTCGCCGAGAAGAGTAACGTCTGCCTCTGATGCCCAAAGTGGTCCAAAGTGTTACGCACCTACACCTTAAAAATATACCCGAAAATTGATGACATTCAACTGACCTCATCCTCGAATCCAAGATCGACCATTCTGTCGGCCTCATCCAGGCAGATGTACACACACTGGGCTAGGGTAAACCTAAAGTGGAGGGAATGTGAGTATACTCCTTGGATACGTCAGCTCTATAATTCCATACCACACCTTCTTCACATCACCACCACTGTGAGCGATTCCAATACTACATCTTCTCATTGAGCATATGGTTCAGCCGCCCTGGTGTCGCTGTAACAATATGCACGCCCCTTCTAACGTTAGCAGCCTGCCGCCCTAAAGATTCCCCTCCAATGCACAACTGACATCGTAGTCGCGGCAACCTATGGCGAGACCGACTCGATGGTCGGCCGGTCAAGTAGGATGCATAATATCTGAAAAACCCGGCGGTCGTATCCCCCAAGATTCCCCCATCACTACGTACTCGACCACCTCGTGAGTCTGTTGTGCTAGTTCCCTACTAGGCGCGATAAGTAGACAGAAAGGGCCCTCACTGTCCGCCACTGGAGCTCTCATCTCCATCTCCATCGCTCTAAAACAACCCTATACTGCGAGGTCAATACCACTCCTTGTTCAACTCACCTCAGAATGGCAGGTATGGCAAAGACCAGCGTTTTACCACTACCAGTGAAGGCGATACCAATGAGGTCTCTTCCTAATAGAGCCTCAGGTAAGCCCTGCATCTGGATCTGCGTCGGCCTCGATATACCCTTACTCTTTAGAGCCTGAAATATGTACCGCAGACACACTACCTTGTGAGGTCCCCCGTACTACCTCCAATACGCCCTGGGGGAAGAGCATGTCCTTGAACGACTTTATAGGCGGGCAAACGTCATCCCCATTCACCTCGATGAAGAACCTGCAAGGCCGGTAATTTTGTGGCGCGTGACGGAATCTGGTCAACCCAACTACTTGTCTCGAATGGCCTGTGCCTCCTCCTCCGTCATTTGCCTATATTTTTTCGGTAAAGTCCAGCCAGCTATGTTGGGCATGCTCATATCGTAAGTGATCCCTCTGAGGGCTAGTAGTAATAAAAACGAGTATATCGCAATCGTTACTTGGCACGCTCCACCACACTAGTAAGCGGCTTGGACATGCTGTCCTCTATATCCTTCAGAATGTTACGCTCACGCTCCTCCTTGGCCCTCTGACAGGTAACAGCGGTCGTAGTAGTAGTAGTAGTAGTAGTAGTAGTAGTAGTAGTAGTATGCAAGGCGTAGGTAGATACTACCAACACGCAAGCCCGGTTGTAAAGAAGGTGGTATTCCCATGTCAATTTCTACTACCAAGTCCAACCACCGTTATGTCCCCGGCGTGCCAATTCTCAACGATTAGTCTCAGTTTCGTATGATCATTGAAGTCGTCCCCTCTGCTACCCTTTCCCTCCCTACTACCTTCTCCTCCTCAGCTTTGGCCTCCTCTGGCATATCATCATGAGCCTTCTTCATTTTCATCGCCTCGAACAGTAGCGATCGGGACTGTTGTGCTGACAGCGAAGGTCCACCAGTCGGGAGGACGACGCCGGGCGCCTCTTCCTCCTCCTCCTCTTCTACTGGAGACTCGCTGGGGGTCGACGATGCTGATGCCTAAGGCGACCCACGATGGTGATCATCCTCACGTAAAGTTGTGGTATGACCTCATAGCCACTCTTACTAGGCAGGGGCCTGTGGCTGGTCCCCTTCTTCCTAAATTTACGTGGTACATACAGCTCCTCGTCCTCGTCCTCTTCCGCCTCCTTCAAGAACGCCTCCATAGCGTCTGAAGTCGTTGTAGTGGTGGTGGGCAGCATCTCGACTCAAAAGGAAACGTTCTCTACCACGACCTCATCAATACCTTCAACTGTAGCCCACTTTTTCACAACAACTTCCAACCGGTTAAGACTCATTACATCTACAAAATTCGCAAAATGCTCGACAGACTTCTCCGGAGTTTCAACAGCGCTTTCATACGAAATCCGATCCTGGGGGGAGTGGTCTCAGGAGAGGTCAACGGAACACTCTGAAAAATCATAACCGTTGAGGAAATGCAAGATTTGTCAAGAGAGCAAGTGACATCATATTTCAGCGTAGAGCTGTAAAGCTAGTAAAAGGTACTCCTTAAATTGCACTATCATATTTTGAGAGCTCCTATCTACCGTTATGTGGAGCACCTTCGCGATCGTCTTTACTATTGGTCTGTTGGCCGGCTCAGCCAACTCTATCGTTGAGAAACTACAGTTCCAAACTGGTGCTTTTGGCGTTGATGGTATTTATCACCTTTTCGAGAAGCCTTGGTTCATGAGTCTGATCATGTTCGTTGCCATGTTGTTGGCTTTACCTGTCTACTACCTGCTCGTGTGGAGGAGGTATATAAAAATGGATAAGGTCAACAAACATATATTTTTTGTTGTTGCCATACCATCCCTTTTCGACCTCTTGGGCTCCTCCTTCCAGGCCATCGGACTCGTCTACACCCCCGTGTCGGTTTTCCAGATGCTCAAGGGAAGTATCCTCATTTTCTCGGCGGCTCTATCGGTCCTCTTCCTCCACAGAAAGATGTACCGTCACAACTGGGCCGGTGTCATCATATGTGTTATCGCCTTGATATTCGTCGGCATGTCTAGTGTTGCCTCTCGAGAGAACCAAACCCAAGTAGTCAGTCTCGGCAAGCTCCTTCTGGGTATCTGTTTCATCGTCGGTGGCCAAATCGTATGCGCCTCTCAATACGTCATTGAGGAGTTCCTCTTGAAACCTCCTCACGATGTGTCTCCTGTCGCCTTAGTCGGTCTAGAAGGCTTCTGGGGTACCATTTTGATGGTGGCCGTTGCCTTGCCAATCGTTGGCTCCCTTCATGGTGGTGATGTTGGTGGTGTTATTGAGAATACTAGAGACTCCTTCGTCATGCTCTACAACGATCCGGCTATAATGTGGCTCACTGTGTCGTTCGTCGTCTCCGTATTCGTATTCAATCTATGTGGCGTTATGGTTACTGCTACCGCTTCCGCGGTTCATCATACCTTCCTCGACGCCACAAGGACCATCCTCATCTGGATAGTCTCTGTACTGATGTAAGTCCTCATGTCGTTGTTGGAGTTCTCATCATCTGTCTCAGGTTCTACGTAGCACCAGGCAAGGGCCTCGGTGAGCCTCTCACGTCGTGGTCTCTACTCCAACTGATCGGTTTTGTTATGCTCATCTACGGCGAGCTGCTTTATGATGAAATCGTCAAGTTACCTTTCGGTCTTCACGAAAAGGAACCTGTAAGTGCATTTAGGTCGTTCAAGGGCGACTTCATCTTTCTGGTAGGTTTCGGAACTACTAGCTCCTCTGAACGCCCCTCTTATGGTGTCTCCAGCCGAACGAAAGCCGGCCCCTGGAATCCCTTCCAACAGGGAGAGACTACCATTATCGCGGAGCGATGCTGATAAGATTCAGTGAGTGTTGTCGTAATGTCTAGTATTCCAACGTAGCCAAGGTTGAGAAGGCGGTAAAATTGATAAGAGTGCTACTGCTGGCCTAAGCTGTCGGCAGTAGTGACTGAGCCTGTCCCTGTTCGCTGTTGTGTATGTTTTTAATTCTGAGCTTGCTGTCGTGGTTACTATCATGTTGATGATAAGTGCAGTGGTGGTTGTCTCTGACCTACTACTACTTTCATCATCTCCCGTGCCTGATCTAATTTACTATCTGTGAACCTCCTTTACGGTAAAGGAGTCTTCTTTGTACAGATCGCGGAGTGTTACTTTATGTCGTTGTGTTGGTAAGCGAACAACTCAAGTCTCTTCTGATGATGTGTGCTTGTCGAGGGACGAGTATCACTGAGAATCTCGGTACGCTTGAAGCCCGGGTAGTGGCTTTAATTCGTTATTCGCTGGTGCATTGCATCTTAGTTCATGAGATCTTGCCTAGCTCTATCGACTCTGCCAACGTCTGTATACAAGGCGATGTACACGAGTACTTCTTTATTGCCTTTCACTCACTTGCTATGGGAAACGTTTCATAATGACAATGAATATAACCATTGTACTTCTCCAAGGCTGATAAAATTCAGCGATGAAATATGGCGGTCACTATGGAGTTTTCGGTATGGTAGAATTCGCATTGTTCATAATGTATTCCCTTCCTACTCCGAATGCTCGATATAAGACGTATTTGCACGGCATCACTGATGCCGCATCAGTAACTGATGATCAGTTCCAACATCCGTAGCCGAATTCTCTTCTCTGGCACCTAGCGTCCCATTATTGGACATTTGCTGTTGTGGTCCTCCAAACCTATCATGCATTAACAGGCCGCCGCCGTTGATTAAGGCTTAGCGAGCCACTGCAAGCTGTCGAGCTACTCTTGGACCGTCCAAATGCACAGGCATACACAGCATATTGTCTACGACACTGCTTGTACACCTTCTAGATTCTTCTCGAAGCACGTAAAACCAAAAGAACGTTTTTAATCGTTGGCTCACACGACGGTACCCTGTATAGTCGGGAGGATTAATGACGCCTTTAAACGATGGTGGCGTAGCCATCGGGCTGGAGCAGAAAAGGACCTTCGAAGATTTTTTTGGATAAAAAGTGCACTGATGATGATGGTGAGCCGCTCACCGTGAGCGATGGGTGTACAGCGACTAGGACTGATCGCGATGAGAAGTGGTCATAACAGTATTGACATTATCGTCTATATAACACAACTCGGTGTTGTTGAAAATAAATGGTAATTATCGTTTGTGTTCAGAAAGCCTCACAAGCCGCTGCCTTATGGCCGACTTTATTACACCTGTAGATAGACAACTGATTAAATAAGAAGGTGTGGCCTTACCTATTGCAGACAGGCGGGTTGTGACAGTCTCGCGAGAGGTGCCCAGTCTGGCGACAATTCCGACACACGGTGTGTTCCGATGGGGCATCTCCTCTAGAGGCTAGGCAGTCCTGAGCTATATGGCCCTCACGATGGCAACTGAGAGGAGCAATTATCCGAGATGTGACAAAGGAGTGGTATGACTTCCTGCAAATAGGCCGGTTCTTGCAGTCCCTTGCCTTGTGACCACGTTGATGGCAGTTATAGCACAATTCGTCATCGGCGCTCGCCCGGGCCCAACTCGAGGCCCGGTCCTCGTTCTTGGCCCATCTGCTGGTGAGTCGACCCTCCCTCGGACGCCTGGCTCATCGACACTTCTCGGCAATCTCGACAAATCCTACTCACTGTTGATCCCTATTTGGGCACTCCGAGGCGATATGACCGAGCTCGCCACAGATATAGCAGTCTTTTTGCGACCTATTGCATACCATAACAAAGTCAACTCAGTCGTCAGCCGTCCAACCCACCTCTTCCGAGGCGACCTGTCCTCTCCTTGCGGACATTCATAAGCCTTGTGACCGGCCCCACCACATCTGACAGTGATTTCAAAAACACCCCTGATGCTAACGCCCACTTATTGCACACGATTTCATTGGGGCAATCTCTGAACACATGCCCAGGCCTCTTGCAATTCAAACAGATTTCTTCGTCTATCAGAGCCCTATCGAACCTGTCGCTGAACCATCCGCCACGCCCTGCTGGTGACGACTCCCACTTCGCTTCTCTCGATGGAGAACGCCCCCGAGAGAACCCCCTCCGAGCCCTCGGACAATTAACAGCGATGTGGCCCTCCATACCACACCTAACCATCATCATCATCATCAACACCCTTTCCTGAGACCTCCTACGCGTTGCACACAGGCTCATTAGGGCAGTCCCTGGCAAAATGGCCGTAACCTTTACAGTTGAGGCAATAGTCCTTCGCCCCGCTATCGAATCTACACGACTTCTAACTACTCCAATACAGAGCACTCAATATTCACTCAAAGGCTCTGTCCTCCTCCTCCTCCTCCTCATCCACCATGGTGACCTCATCCCCTTCCCTCAGCATAGGACAATCGGCCACCTTGTGACCAGGCTTCAGGCACCTACGATACTCAGACCTCTACAGCAGCAGCCACCGCCCTCAGCAGCAGCTTCCCTCATAACCGTACTTGTTGCAAACGATATCGTTGGTGCAGTCCCTGGTCCTATGTCCCATTTCCTTACAGTTGAGACACATGACATCCTTCATAGGGCAATCCATAGACAAATGGCCATCCTTATCACACAGTATGCATCGCGGGAGATGCGTACAGTCCTTTTCCTACTCTTATCATCATCATCACCAACACTCTACTGGCCACTACCTCATGCCCAGGCCTG